TTTTTGGTTTGGGCGAACACCAAGTGTTTTTAATGTTTTAAACATGTTAGAAAAACATTTTTATGATGTGTGAAATGCAATGAAAAGAATTTTAGCCTAAAGAGCCAAGGTGTAAAGGTTGGGTCGGTCTTGATCACAATTATGACCGACTCAACAACACTAAGACAACGGTCTTCGTTCTTGGTCTTCTTTTGGGTCTTGTTCTCTTGCTTTCTTCTTATATTTATTTCTCCCCTTGTATATTCAATAACTTGTCTCGTTCACGGCGGTTTGGCATTATCAAAACCTGTCATAAAAACGAACACGGCTTTAGTACGAAAACACGATAAACCCGTGTTTCAACAATTTCCCCCTTTTTGATAATGGCAAACAAGACGGGGTTATGCATAGGAGGATTGATTTGAGACTTGAAAAAATGTTCCCCCTTAATAAATGCAATTTTCTTTTCAACAAAGTTTATGTGTTGAATAAGAGTTAGTTTTAGAAAAAGTTCCCCCTCAATCTATGCATAACCTTTATATCTTCCCCCTTTTGACATTAACAAAAAGAATTAAAAGTAAACTTTTATTCATTAAAAGGGAAATACAGAATACAACGGATAAAAATACAATCATATTTAATAAGGAGAAAATAAAGAAGATGTCGTGGCATCGGTGTTGGCCTTCTTCTTTGAAGCCTCGGTTTTGGTCCTTGACTTTCCTCTGGCCATTGTTGAAGCGTTTAGAAAGTATGCAAGAGGAATGTGAATTGTGTGTTAAAAATGACCAAGGATGGTTAATATTTATAAAATAAGAATTTGGGCCCTTGGTGTTAAAAAAATATGGCTGTTGGTCATTGAATGAGGTGCCCAACGGCTGTGATTTTTGAACTGCAATAGGCTTCCCAGCGATGGTAAGGTTCTCCCATCGATGGGAAGACATGTACTGGAAAGGGAGAAAAAAAAGTGAAGGCAGCCTTCCCAGCGATGGTAAGGTTCTCCCATCCATGGGAAGACAGCTGCTGGAAATTTTTTTTTTAAAAAAAAGTGTCAAACACCCAGCGATGGGAAGAAGTTCCCATCGATGGGAAGAGGGCTGCTGGTTAGAAAATACTTCCTTCCCAGCGATGGGATAAACCATCCATCACTGGTTCCCCCTGAGTTTCTCACTTTGATACGTACCTGCAAAAAAACAACACTTTGGTACCCAAAGTATGTCTATGGGTCCTTGGGGGTTAGTTAACCTTTATTGCCCACACACACACCCAAAATTCATTTCCTTACACACACGCGCACACACACACACACACGATTAGATGATCGTTTAGGAATTACCTTGGCCAACCCATGATCTCGTGGTTGGCGGGTTCCAGTCTACCTGAACGGAGTGCCGATATCTTGGTGTGATTTGTGTAGGTTCCGGTAACGGAATGTGGACTTTCTTCTTTTCATCAAAGTAGAAGAAAGAGTAAGGTTTATTTTGTGCATTATCCTGTGGAGATTGTTTATGATTCGAATATCCTTTTCCAAAGGATTTCTTTTCGTCAGCACTAAATATGGTGTGTGTTTCATTAAAGGTCAAGTGCATATGTCTAGTGAAACACATGGGAGCTATATGTCCTACCCTATTGCAATAATGGCATACTACATTTGGGTTGAACATATGCCTAGGTTGGTAATAGCTAGGGGGTCTAACCATATTCATCCTATTTTGAGAAAATATTGGTTTTTGGGTATTTTGAAGATTTTCTCTTCTAGGTGTTCTAGCATTATTTTGTCTATTTGAAAAATTATTTGTGTCCATAAAATCATTTTGATAATTCCTCCTAGGTTGCCTAGAGTGCTCGTGTTCATGACTAACCTTTTGTTTAGGTTGTCTATTATTTTTATTTTTATCTTTCTTAGGTTGAGCTCTAGGTGGTTTACGGTTGTGCTCAACTTTTTCTTTATTTTTAGGTTCATCAATCTTCCTAAAACCTATTCCTTGTTTAGTGTATTGCATAGAATCAAAAACGAGATTAAGATCCTTATGTGGTTTATTAAATTTCTTCACCGTGTTTTCTAATTCAGCAACTTGTTCTTTCAAAGCTATGCAAGAGTCACAATGTTTTGTAGAGCTCTCGGGTTTGTCGGCGCTTCTTTTACCATAAAATTTGTTTTCAACTTTTAGTTTTTCGTTTTCCTTTTGAAGTTTTTCAAACTCAATTTCAAGATTAGAAAAACGTTTCTTTAAAGCTTTGTTGGTTTTAGAAGCGCTAACAAACTCGTCATAAAGCTCTTGGAGAGCTTCTTGCATTTCTTCAAAAGAATAAGAACCGGTAGAAGAAATACGTACCTCTTGGTTTT